GACGTAGGTCTTAAATGAACAATAACCCCACCAAAAAAGATAAACAAAATATAAGTGAACAGCTCAGGGCGTTTGTGGTTTTCACTGTTATTTTATAGGTTTGGATTTTGTAAGGCCGGTGAATAAGAGGCTGTTTATTTCCTCTGAGATCAATAAAATGTTTTTGTTTTTGTTTTTTTCACAGCATGGAATATAAAGCCTGGCCTATGAAATCTGGAAGAAGTCAGAGTTAGAATCAGGCCCTTGGGGAAGTTCTTTATTGTGTAGCATGTGGCAGATTCTATCTACTTGTTAGAAAGAGCAGAGTGCTTTAGCCTAGAGCAAGGATGGGGAACCTGCAGCTTTGAGGTCACATGTGGCCCTCTAGGTCCTCAAATGCAACCCTTTAACTGAGTCCAAACCCAGTCAAAGGGCTGCACTTGAGGACCTAGTGGGCCACATGTGGCCTTGAGGCCACAGGCTCCCCATCCCTGGCCTAGAGTTTCTGCTATGATAATCATCAACCTGTGATCTCTGATTTCTTACTCCCCAAGTCTCACCTACACAAGATTATTTAGAGCTCTGGGCTGCAGGGAAATGGTTTGATTTGTTGTTTGATTGAGTTGATTGAGTTGATTGAGACTTGATTTGTTGTTTGGTTGAGTTCTCAACTTAAGAAAGTGGTGGAAAAAATGTTAATAATGGGGATTGAATTTTAAAATATGACATTCATTCCATTTTCCCCAGAGAACTGCTTATTAAACATTTACCAGCCTATCCCTACCTATATTCTATGTGTATGTATTATTTCTTTCCGCAATAGAATATAAGTTCTTGGAGGGCAGAAACTGTCACTTTTTTTGAATTCATATTTTCAGTGTCTAGTACAGTGTCTGGTACATAGTAGGTATTTAGTAAAAAAAAATTTTCTTTCACTTATTTATTCCTTTTGTGTTGTATTACTGGTTGAGAAATATTCTATGCAGTTTCCCCCCCGCCCAGAGGAATAGAATTTGATTGAAATTTTATTTCTTATTTCAAATTCATGAGGGCTCTCAGGGATTCCCCTCAGTAGTGATATGACATCTGTCAACATTAAAAAATTTATCTGTCTCCATCTCCATTCCCATCCCCATTCCCATCCCCCATCCACATCTGTCTATACCTATATCTATGTTATTATTGTTGTTATTCAGTTGTGCCTGACTCTCCATGACCCCAAAGCCCATGGGTTTTCTTGGCAAAGAAGCTTGAGTGGTTTGCCATTTCCTTCTCCAGTGTGTCCCCATTTTACAGATGAAGAACTAAGGCAAATAGGGGTTAAGTGACTTGCTCAGAGTCACATAGCTACTAAGTATCTAAAGCCAAATTTGAACTCAGATTTCCTGACTCCAGGCCCACTGCTCTATCTACTGAGCCACCTAAGTCACTTTATATCTATATCTGTATCTGTATCTAAATCCATACCTGTATCTGTACGTGCTCATATGGTCCTTCTGGGGTTACTTTCCTAAGTCCCATTTCCATTCATAGGTGGGGATTCCCTAGATTGCAGCTAGTAGTGTCAGGTTTCTAGGGATAACCCTAAGGGCCTGGAGTTTCTAACATTGTTATTCAAGGGCCCCACCTGGTGTGCTTACCATTGATTATCAGTCAAATTTAATTATCTTTTTTCATAGAGTATTTACTAAGCAAGGATTACAAAGACGATTGTTACAAAAATGGCTCCCACAAACCAGATATGTGTTGTCCTCTTACATGGCCCCATGTAAAGGGCCTGTTGACGTCCTCATAAACATGGCTTCTGAAGAGAGTGGACTCAAACTTAAAAGATAAAAGTAATGAGGTACATGGGTAGAGAACACATACAGCAAGGGGGGAACATGGCTCCTAACTACTAGGAATCCTTTTCTCCCTTCAGAGAGTCTTTGTGAGGTCGCCCTTAGGAGCGGTTTTCTGCTGAGCTCTGAGGATAAATACCTTTCTAGATCCCTACACTTCTTTCCACCCTGACCAACCATGCTCCCTGAATCTGTCTGTCTTCATCTTTGTTCATCTAATTCATCCTCTAGTTCTTCATCTAGTTCATCTTTGATGTGTTCCTCAGCTCCCAATTCAAACCCTCCTATGACCCATTGCTCTACTGACCATCCTCCCACTAACATTGAAGGGAACGCTGGAGCTTCTGAACTTCTGAAATTCACAAGGTCATCACCTGGTGGTTGTGGTGGTGGAGATATTTTCTGTGTGATGCCACTTACCTCTAATCATGTATCTTTCTATCTCCATTATTACATGTAGAACCAAAAATGGCAAAGCTAATCATTTTGGGGAAGTGATCATGTCCTTTCTTTGCACTGCTCACCTGTCCCTATGGAGCAGGTAGGGCAAAACAATTGGGGAAACAGATATTACTCCTAAAGCAAAATGTCCCTGACAGAGGAAGCCATTAGGGCAGCATCTAGTTAGGCAGAGTATATGAGATCAGGTATGAAAAACACAAAGAGAAAGGAGAATGGGAAACAAAAATCTTTGTATAGGGAAAGAAGAACAAGAATGGAAAAGGGGTACAACCAATAAATCAATAAACATTTACTAAACATCTACTATGTGCAATACACTGGGCAAAATGCTGGGTCACTAAAGCATTTTTAAAAATGCAAAGTAAATATCAGAAGGGAATTCAGAAAGAAACATAGATAAGAAGGCCAGCCATGAAGGCACAATGTTAAGTTTATTATATGCTTTAAAAACATTAAGTTATACCTAATAGAATTTGCATTATTTGAAGTTATTATTGCGCAAAATATGGTGATTGATTCTAGTCCACTGGAAATACATGCCATGTGAATTTGAATAATGTGATCACTTCAAAAGATTCGTTATTTGAACTAATTGGAACCTAGCTATAATTCTTTTTCTAGTCTGTGTACATAGAAGTTGTTTCTCTCTCTTTCTTTCTCTCTCACTCTCTCTTTCATTCTTTCTTCCTTCCTTCCTCCTCCATCCTTTTTTCTTTCTTTTGCATTTGTGTGTTTGTTATATTCAAAATTAATTTTCAATTAAAAGAAAAAAAGAAAATAGCCCCTGAGCTCAAGAAGGTTACAATTTATTAGGGAGACAAGATACAACACAGTACAATATATACAAAATATATACAGAGTAGATGGGAGACTAGTTCAGAGAGGAAAGCACCAGTAACTGGAGGGACTAGGAAAGACCCCCCTGAAGAAGATGGTATCAGAAGTAAACTCAAAGGACATCAGTGAAATTAAGAGATGGCTGTAAGGAGCATTCCGGGCATGAGGGTCAGCCAGGGCAAAGGAATGGTGGAGGATGGATTATTGTGTAGAAGAATAGCAAATAGACCAAAAGAACTGGATTGTAAAGTACACAAAAGAAAGGAAAATACAAGAAAATCAAAAAGGTATGGAGGGCCCAGGTAGTGAAAAGTTTAAAATGCCAAACAGAAGATTTTTTATTTGACTAACACACAAATGGAACCATCACCTCTTTACTCCTATAAATTGGGCCTCTTCTAAAGCAGTACAAAATTATGTTACTTTTACTGGTTACCATGACACACTGATGACTCCTAATTGAGCTCCACTAAGACCCTGAGATCTTTTTCAGATAAAGTGCTATCTAGCCACGCCTCCTGAATATAATGCTTCTGAAGTTGAATTTTTGAACCAAAGCACAAAATAATTCCTTAATCCCTACTAAATTTCATTTTTATTAACTTCAATCTAATTCTTTTAGCTTGCCATGGTCTTTTGAGGTCTTGCTTCTGTCAATCAATGTGTGGGTTTTATTTCATCGCAAAATGTGATATACACGCTGTCTATGCCTTTATCCAACTCCGTGATAAAAGGTGAAATGTTACAGGGCCAAGGGCGGATTCATTCCCAAGGGCACGTCACTGGATACTTCTTGTTAAGCAGTCACTGAGCCCTTAGTGACTACTTTTTAAGTTTAGCCATTTAACCCACTCTGACTCCATCTTTTTGGACTATCACATAACTTGCTTCTTTCCATCTTTTCCATAAGAGAAGCACTACTTTATCTGTGAAGGCAAGTATGGTACCAACAAAATCATAGGTCTGAAAAAAATAACCACTACTCCATATAATCCCACAGCACTTTACACAGTGTTTTACATGCATTATCAACAACAACCCCATGAGATGCTTAGTGCAAGTAGAATCATCTCCATTTTACAGGTGAGAGAATGAAGAACCTGAGACTTGGAGAAAGGAAATGACTTGCCCAACAAAATGCAGGCAGTAAGTGGTAACAACTGTGCATCATGCAGCTGGGTAGCCCAATGGATAGAGCACTGTGTCTGGAGTCAGATCTAGCCTCTGACAATTATCTATATGACTCTGGGCAAGTCACTCAACCTCTGTTTGCCTCAGTTTCTTTATGTGTAAAACGGGGATTGATAATACCAGTTTACTCCCTGGGATATTGTGAGGATTAAATGAGGTAATATTTGTACTTTGCAAACCTTAAAGAATTACATAAATTTTAGCTTCTTGTCCTCCCCTGCCCCCTCCTCCTATTATTATTATTATTATAACCTGGAACCACATAACTTAAAATTCAGCAAACTTTCCACTACCCCACAACCTTCCTAAGTCTACAAATATTTCAAGTTAAAATTTGTGTCATTGGTTAAACATTCCTGACTAGACTTTTCTGTATCTTTGTGTTATCATTGACCCAGATCACTCATCCTAGAAGTATAAAAGATAATGTGTAGAGAGTTTTTCACAGGCAAAAAGAATTAAGAATGATATAGAGGGCCCCCAGAAACTTATACTGAGCCACAGATGGCCACAGGGTCACAGTTTGAAGAATTCTGGTATAACATATAATAGGTAGGGAGCTATAGAGGATCTCTACACTAAAGGAATCCCAAATCTGGACCAGATGATGCTAATGACATTCATTTTCCACAATGCTTTAATATTTCAAAATACTTTATTGATATTCTTACATATCAAACAAAAGCAAGTATAATCAACCCAATTTTATAGATGAGGAAATGGCCTCAGAAAGGTTTAGAGTCTACTGATTCATGCTTGGGCATCACTGTACACCCGGTGGTACCTCCCACAATCATAGGCATCCTATAGAGAGAGAGAGAGAGAGAGGAAAATATGAAGCATTTGCTGTAATGTTGGCCTAGAATATCTCACTGATGAAGTGGCAAAAAAGTCACAAGTAATTTGGTAGTGGAAGGTAAAGCTAAAATCTAAGGAAGACCGTAAAGATGAACTAATAATAAATAAATCATCCATTTCTGTTCTAAACCACTAAATTCTCATATAAGGGAGGAAGGGTAGAAGACCAAATGATGAAGACAATGTGTAAATTCTTTGATGTCAGGGTCTGTTTCATTTTGTCTTCGTTTTCAGCACCTTGCCAAGAGTAAGTGTTTATTGAATTTAATTGAATTGTACATTTGTTGACTACAATTAGGAAAATATCCACTTTTCTTTTCTTTACTTTTTTTGTTACAGGTATCTTCTGGGTTAGGGCTTGCCTTCTTAAGTCTCTCTTAGCCTCTCCCTAAGTAAAAATGAATATAATCCACATATTTGCAAATACCTAATTAAGCTCTTGAAAAGCAAAAAGTTGAAAGTTTAAGACTTTCCAAATAAGGAAATTGGCTACTGGGAGTCCCGGACTCTTTTGCTTTGTCAAAATGTTGGGAAGGGGACAACAGTAACATGTTGGGAGCTACCCCCTCTAGCTGTAGCAAGTATATTTGTCCAGTGTGTTTAGTGGAAGCCAACGATCCCTGGGATATATGCCTTAACAAGTGGTGACAGTCATTTCCCCAAGAGGGAGATTCCAGATATGGTACATATAGCTTTTAAGGGGCATTAACCTCATCAGAACTGCCAGGGGGCTAGTCCCATGAGTCAGTCTTTCCCTTCTCCTGCTCTCTACCATGAGAACAAATGTTACAACACTCATTCTGAGTCAAGTATTTGGACAAGATAAAAAATAACACTGAATTGCTTTGCACCTGCTTGCAGTTAATAACAGGGTTGCTGGTTGCTCGTAGGATATCTCCGTGAACAGTCTATTTATCTGATCTTTCTTTGGTACTGTTTTGTTGGTCCCAACCTGCTCATTCTGCTCATCTGAAGCTATGCTCTTAGGGGAAAAAGATCCTGTCAGTTGATGCGTTCTGAGAATATCTTTAGCATCTGATGCTACAGGATGCAAGGAGGTGGGAGAAGTTCTAGGAAATATTGGTAAATGCCAGCAGTTGGAATCTTCAGATCACAAATTAGCAAATATCAAAAACATTAAAATTACCTCACATTAGCCATATGTTAGGACTGTTGTTTTCATTATAAGATTCTCAACTCCCAGAATTTGGAAGCACTAAGTGGATTAAAGAATATCGCTCCATTTTCTTCAGAACTTTACTCACCTATTATAAGAGCCCTGTTGCCTCCTGTGATGGCTAATTTATAAGCTACAGAATTTCATGGTTAAATATCAGAGTCTCTGTAATTTGTTTGTTGCTCTCTCTCACTCCTACAATTACATTTCTTTAGCTTGCATTGCTAATTGTCAGAAAAAAAGGAAAAAAGCTTTCACCTTTGTCATAGTCATCTTTTAGTCAAGAGCTTGACTCTGTAATGTTGGGCCATGCTTGCCCCTAGACAAAAATAAATGGGATCCTGGTACTTATAAACACCTTAATAGGCATTTGAAAATTAATTTATAATTATAGTTTGGGAAGCCCCTAAGCAGCTAGGTGTTATCATGGATAGAGTACTGGACCTGGAGTCAAAGAGATCTGAGTTCATATTCAACGACAAACACTAGCTGTGTGTCCCTGGGCAAGTCACTTAACCTCTGTTTGCCTCAGGTTTCTCATCTATAAAATGGAAATAATAATAGCACCTTCTTCCTGGGAACCTTGTGAGGACAAAATGAAGTAATGTTTGTAAAGTGTTTTACAAATCTTAATATGCTACAGAAATGCTAGCTATTATTATTATTAAAATTATAGTACTCAAATAGACTATATTATATAATAAATATAATTTATAATTATAAATTGTTATTATAGTGTTAGGGGAGACAATAAATCTAAACTTCTCTTAATATTTCTTCCATTCAGCAAAAACTATCCATAAAGTGAAAATCTACTGACAAAACCCTACATTCTTCCATGTATGTTTCCTTTAAAGGGAAATTTGTCTTTAATAGAGAAAAATAGTTTACATAGTGAAGATTAGATACAAATTACTATTATTTGTTAACATTAAAATTCACAAAGTAAGTGTGTATATAGTGAAAGAAAGAAATTAAAAAAACTATCTTGACAAAGTTGATCAATCAATCTGATAAAGAAGATAACAGGACTAACTACTCTTAAATCTGATTATTTTGGTCTACAATTCAATGAGATTAATGTTGTGGCGATTTGACCCTGTGTTTATTGATGCAACAGACACTGTTGTTAGTCAGTCACAAAGACCTTGACTATATGAGTGAGTGTGAAAGAATCAGGATTTAAATACAATCTTATTGCCTCTTGTTTTCCATTGTTACATGACTGAAGGCAATATCCACTATATTTCATCCCACCAAGGCACTGGTAATTTAGTGGGAGAGCTAGATGACCTGCATATCATTGTAAGACTACTTTAAAATGACTAGGGGCTAGACACATGGGATCTGCTAGACTTAATCGAGAAAACTAAATGTAAATAAATCACCAGGACCAGATGGCATCTACCCAAGAGTTTTGAGGAATTCAAGGGTGAAATGGTAAAGCTTCTGGCCAAAACATTTAACCTCTTATTATAAACACAGGAGAAATGGCTAATGGCCAAAGTGACTCCCATCCTTTATGAAAGGCTTGAGAGAGAAAGCTATGAAGTGGTGAAGTCTTACTTCTCTTCTGGGTGAGGTAGAGCCAACTATAAAAAGAGAGGAAGATCATTGAACACTTGTACAAACATAACTAGCATTTGTAGAGAACTGTAGTTTTCGAATTGTTATGCATCTTGTTTCACTTGATGCTCACATTAGTGTGAGGTAGGTTTTCTTATTTTCTCCATTTTACAGATGAGGAACCTGAGGCAGAAAGAGATGAAGTGACTTGCTTAGGGTCTCATAACTAGTAAGTGCTTGAGGTGATGTTTTAATTCAAATCTTGACTCCAGGCATCACGCTTCCATCCACTGTGTCACCTAACTGCCTCTGTAAGATTTATTTCATATGTACTGATTTATATCTCTTGTTCCTCCTCACCCCCAATTAAATTGGGAACTCCTTCAGAGAAGAAACTATTTTTGCTCTTTCTTTGTAGCATAACACCTGCAAAGTAGTAAGCACTTAATAAATGCTTGTTAACTGATAATTAATTGATGATACACTGTTCCCTTCAACTAAAAGGTGCTCCCTCCCAGGGATGTCCTAGTAAAATTTTAACAACCAACTCTGGAGGAAAAAAAGTAAATACAATAAACTTTTAAATTTAATGAGCTTCATCAGCACCTCCCGCTTTTCTCCCATCCCGGTTATATTCCTTCAAGACTGTTCATGTGCCTTACTTCTTCTAAGAAACCTTCCCTGATTACCTCAGCCCAAGATACATTCCATACTTACGTCCTACAAAAACGCACTTCAATGCAAATATTGTACCAGGAAGAGTAAGCGGGAACACTTCATAAGCAGAATTCTTGAATGTTTCAGCATTTTTCTAAATCATAGAGTGACTCTTCTACTGGAATAATAAGGAGAGTTATTTGTAGGTCTAATTGGAAATACTAACAAAGGCTCAGTAAAAATGGAATATCTAAGAGTCAAAAACGGAAATATAAATGAATGGTTTCTCAAATTCTCTGTTTCTAAAAGTGTACTCTTTGTCTCTCGTAACTTGTGCATCATATATGTCACCAGGAGCAATTGAGGAGGAAGAAGAGATAGCTACTGACAACACTGTATTGGGGGGGGGGATGCATTTACATATGGAGCCTTAATGAGCAGGGTTTTCCTAGATCTGTAGATCACTAAGAGGGAAAAAGGAGACCTGATTTGGAGCATCAGAGTATTTCACTGCTGTGGTCCTGATCTAATTAAAGAGCCAGCCACAGGACCTACAGCTCTCTTTATTTCATATCACTGAGTTGAATCTTCCTAAAACATAGTTTTCATTATGTCACCTCTCTGCTTATGAATCTTCATTGGTTCTCCATTAACTACTGGATCCAATGCATCCTTTTCATCCTGCTTGTTATTCCAAGCCTTCTATGCTTTTACTCTATTATATCTAATCCAACTTACTTTCTATGATTCCTCTACACATATCCTCAATTCAATTCATTTCAAACCAATGTGATTCAGCATATATTATGCATCAGTGTTCAAGTGCTATATTTCAAACAACCTTTTAAAAAATAGTCACTGTTCTCAAGGAAGAACAAACAAAATATATTCAAAAAAGTATAATACAAGATAGGATGAGCAATATGGTATACATGGATAGTGAGGTTACTTTGGTGCCAGGAATACCTGAATTCAAGTCCCTGAGCAAGGCATTGACTTCTCAGAACCCTAGGCAACTTTTGAAGATGAAAAACTGTAGAGAAGGAGCCAGCCTTCATTGGTAGAAGGGGGTATCTTCATTTGGGAATTCCCTACTAGTGAAATCATAGGTCCAGTGCCTTATCCCTGTGATAAAAGATAGAATGTGGGGACAGTGTTCTAATAAAATTTTAGGAGGGAAAGTTTAATGTTGTGTAGAGTAAAGAGTACTCAGTTTCCCATTTCTTTCAAGGAAAGGAAGGAGGTCGATATCCTCAACTCTTCTCTGGCCCCAAGATTGCTCTTTATCATGTCGTAGCACTTAACTTTGTTTTGTTGTTCTTTTTTTGTTTTCACTATTGCAGTTACTATGAATGTTGTTTTCCTTTTTCTATGTATTTTACTCTGAGTCAGTTTATACACATCTTCCTATATTTCCCTATTCCTTGGGGTTGTTGTTTCTTAAGACACAATAGAGTTCCATTACATATTTATGCCACAGTTTCTTTAGCTATGTTCCAATCAATAGCAAAATACTTTCATTTTTGTTTGGTTCTATTTTACTTCGGTTTTGACAACTACAAAAAATGAGGATATGAGTGTTTTGCTACACGTGGTAATAGCACCTTTTTCTCTGTGATTGAGATATATGTCCAACAGTACGATCTATGGATCAAAAGGTATAAATAGGTTAGTTTTTCTCAAATGATTACAAATTATTTTCCAGTATGGTTGGACCAGTACACAACTCTACTAACTCTCTTGGTATGATTGTCTTCTCATTGCCCCTACAACATCAACTATTTCCATCTTGCATTATTTTCCCAATATGTTAGATGTTTGATGAAACCTCAGAATTGCTTGAATGTACATTTCACTTATTAGTGATTTAGAGCAATCTTGCATATGTTTGTTGATAATTTAGAGGTCATCTTCGAAAATTACCAACTCTTATGTCTTGACTATATATCTATTGAGGAACTGCTCTTGGTCTTATAAATTTCTGTCAATTCCTCACATATCTTAGGCATCAGGTTTTTGTCAGAGATATTTGATGCAAAGATTTTTTTAACCAATTGAACACTTTGTTTCTAATCCTTAATCTTACATTAATTTTATTTGTGCAAAAAAATGTTTAGCTTTACGCAGACAAAATTATCTGTTTTATCAACTTCTTCCAAAGAAGAGTTTGAGATCCAGATCCAGACTTCTAAAGAGATCTGATCCAGATAAGAGTCAGGAAGAATTAGGTTTAAATTTTATGTGTCATCTATAATATGGATGTGACCCAACCACAAGTGATGAATCATCTCATTATTTAAAACTTCCTTTATTACTATAAAACTATTTTGTCATCATATTTATGTGTATTCTGTATCTTGACAGATTACCATCTTAACAGTTTTATAGTTATATTGAATGGGACTTCTTTTTCTATTATTTTTTCTTGGCTTTTCCCATTTTGTTTTTAGAGATGATGATGTTGGAAATTTATTTTCTATCTTGCTCCTTGAATGAAGCTATTACTTGCTTCAATTAAAGATTTTTTTTCTCATTACACATGGGGTTTTCTAAGAATTCATCATGCACTTAAGGATAATATTGTCTCTTCTTTGATAATGTTTATTCCTTTCATTTCTTTCTCTTCTCTTATTGCTATCACTAGTATTTCAAATAATAATGGGGAGTGGGTGCATTCTTGCTTTACCTTTGTACTTATTGGGAAAGTTTTAGAGGTGCTAGCAGTTGGACTGTTCTTTCCTGGAATAAATTTCTATTCTTTCTATTCTTAGTATTGATCTATGTTCTTTTTGTCTTCATTATCCCTCCTTGTTTCAGGTATTAGAGTTATATTTATATTATAGTAGGAGCATTGTAGGGTGCTTTGATTCTCTATTGAGAATAATTTGAGTAGGATAATTATTAGTTATTCTTTTTTGAAATATATTTCATTTAATGATTTCTATATTTATAGCTAGAATTCTGGGACTTCAAAATTGCATCTTTGCATGTTAGATTCTTATAAATGATAGAAAATGTTTCTTTTTTGTAGTCTATATTATTCTATATTACTCTCCTTTGCTTTATTCAAATGTACCCTAACAAGTCTGCTGTCATTTAGTTTCATGTGGATTCTCTTGCCAACAATTTCACTTGAAAAAACAAAGACTTCAAAGATTGAATCATGTATAATGGTGTGAGTATAGTTTCTGAGATTTTTTTTTGCATATATTTATATAGTTTTTGCTTGTTGACTTAAGATGAATTCTCTGAGAAACATGCTTGCCACATGCTTGCCACTGGATCTTCCGCACTCCAATTCATGAACTAGTTATTCTTAGATCTGAATAGATTTCAGTTAAGAAGTTGAAAGCTGTTGGTAGCTCTTCTGCCACCATCAACTTCAATTTCTTAAGCTACTGTGATACATAGTGCTTTTAATTGAGCCTTTAAATAAGAGTATATCTCCAACTCCAGGAGAGCCTGCAAAATACCAGGCTTGAATTCATCTGGCTTCCTGCCACTGGGCTTTACAATCTTGATTATGAAATAGAACTTGGCACTGCCTTCACTGGGTGCCAGCATAGGAAGAGCTTAATTACTCTTTAAATGTCTGATTCTTCATTTCAGAAGATACCATAAGCCTTTAAAATGTAATTTTTCAAATAATCTATTCAAATCTTTATTTTGTTTTCTGTTTATCTTTCTGTTAGATTTCTACTACCCTGAGAGAAGATTAAAACCACCTACAATTCTGGTGTTTCCATTTATGTCTTTTTTTTCAATTCAGTTAATTTTTCCTTTAAGAATTTTAATACTATGCCATTCTTAACATATATTTTGTAACTCTACCTACAGGTTTCCAGGATTCAATTCAATAACTCCCTGAGGGAAGAGATTGTTTTTCTCTTGGTGCAAAGTTTATGTTGAGAAGGTGTGTGATCTGGCAACTGAACAAAGTTTGGAGCACCAGAAAAGCAGTAGTAGGGTGCATAAGGGAGGCAGTGTGACTGATCACAAACACTGAGACTATGAAGAAAGTCAGAGACTTTATAAAGGAAGAGAAACTAACTGGATTCCTCCTAAGGACAGCTAAGCTCATATTTCACAGAAGGAAGATGGGACTACAGTAGCCTTATTGGAGCTTTCCCAACACCCACACTTCATCTCTCCCTCAGGTGGTGGCTAAGGGGCATCTTCTTTTTCCTTTCCTCTTCCCTCCCTCTATCCATTTAGGTAGAATTGGTGGGGGAGGAAACAAAACTATGTCCTACTTTGTTATCTCACACAGCCAATGATATTTTTGAAACTTTGAATCACTTGTATAAATTAGTTCATTCCCATTGTCAGTAGTCATGTCATTGGTTGATCCAAGGGTACATATATGGATGGCCTGGAGGGTTTTATATTTCCCTAATTATGTACACTAGAACCCTAAAATTCTGGTTTGAAAGGTTAAGACCACTTAGGGATCTATATAGCAATAGTTTAGTTTTATAAATAATCTTATAATTTTCCTAAGAAGAGCTTCAAAACTTGAACGCAGGGCTCACTTAGACTTCCCAGAAGAATGAACCATTGGAGTCTGGCATCACTGAAGGTGTGGACACTGAACTTGGGGACTAAACTAGTTCCACAGGAAAAAGGAGGAAAAATAAAGACATCACAGACACTTGGGCTCTAACACAACCACAAGTGTTAGATTTTTTTAAAATCACATTGTTTCATTGTGGTTCCTTTTAGAATAATGTAGTTTCACTGTCTCTCCTGACACATATGTGTACTTTTCCTTTGTCTTATAGCATAATAACAAACTCTTACTTCCTGAAGGAATGATCTGAGACATTTTAAATTTTGTTCTAGCCTCTAGCCAGTTTCAATCTATGTGTGCCTTATTGCTCAGATTTTTTTTTCTTTTATGTGACAGAATGTTGTGGTTTTGGTCCTTTTCCTTTCTGCCTCTTCTTTTCTTTTATTTCCTTTTATTTATTTTATTTTATTTTATTTCCTTCTTATATTATTCATTCATTTTTGTTTTAAAAATATTATTTTTAACATTCTTTTTTAAAAAATTTTGAGTTCCAGAGTCTCTCTTTTCCTCTCTCTTCTCCCCCACCCATTTAGAAGGCAAATAACTGATATCAATTATTCGTGTGAAATCATGCAAAACATATTTCCATATTAGCCATATTGTAAAAA